TGGAATTGTTGGTAGCCGAGTTCATACTAGTGTCGGTGAAGGTTGGTTTTGAACTCGGAACATCCATGTTTTGGAATTGTTGGTAGCCGAGTTCATACTAGTGTCGGTGAAGGTTGGTTTTGAACTCGGAACTTGCATGTTTTGGAATCGCTAGGTGTAGAGGGACAGAATTTATACACGAGTCGGTGACGTTTTCACCGAGGCAGGTTCGAAGCTAGATCATGCATGTTTTGGAATTGTTAGGGGTCGAGTCTATAGTAGGGTCGGGGGAGTTTTGTTAACACAGAGGGATGTTTCGAAGTTGGTACATCCATGTTTTAGAATTGATAGGTAGAGAGGCCATACTAGGGTCGGTGAAGTTTTCACCGAGGCAGGTTGCAAAGTTGGGACATGCCTGTTTAGGAATTGTTGGCAGTTGAGTTCAAACTACTGTCGGAGATGTTTTCACCGAGGCAGGTTGCAAAGTTGGTACATGCATGTTTAGGAATTGTTGGTAGCCGAGTTCATACTAGTGTCGGTGAAGGTTGGTTTTGAACTCGGAACATGCATGTTTTGGAATCGGTAGGTGTAGAGTCCCTACTAGGGTCAGGGGAGTTTTTGTTAACACCGAGGCAGGTTGCAAAGTTGGTACATGCATGTTTAGGAATTGTTGGTAGCCGAGTTCATACTAGGGTCGGGGAGTTTTGCTAACACTGAGGCAGGTTGTAAAGTTGGTACATGCATCCTTGGAATTGTTAGGGCCCGTGTTCATACTAGTGTCGGTGAAGGTTGGTTTTGAACTCGGAACATGTATGTTTTGGAATCGGTAGGTCTAGAGTTCATACTAGGGTCGGTGAAGTTTTCACCAAGGCAGGTTACAAAGTTGGGACAGGCATGTTTAGGAATTGTTGGCAGCCGAGTTCAAACTACTGTCGGAGATGTTTTCACCGAGGCAGGTTGCAAAGTTGGTACATGCATGTTTAGGAATTGTTGGTAGCCGAGTTCATACTAGTGTCGGTGAAGCTTGGTTTTGAACTCGGAACATGCATGTTTTGAAATTGTTGGTAACCGAGTTCATACTAGGGACGGGGGTGTTTTCACCGAGGCAGGTTACAAAGTTCGTACATGCATCATTGGAAATGTTAGGGAGAGTTAAACTAAGGTCGGTGAAGTTTTCACCGAGGCAGGTTACAAAGTTGGTACATGGATGTTTAGGAATTGATGGCAGTCGAGTTCATACTAGGGTCGGGGAATTTTGTTAGCACTGAGGCAGGTTGGAACGATGGTACATGCATGTTTGGGAATTGTTGGTAGCCGAGTTCATACTAGTGTCGGTGAAGGTTGGTTTTGAACTCAGAACATGCATGTTTTGGAATTGTTGGTAGCCGAGTTCATACTAGTGTCGGTGAAGGTTGGTTTTGAACTCGGAACATCCATGTTTTGGAATTGTTGGTAGCCGAGTTCATACTAGTGTCGGTGAAGGTTGGTTTTGAACTCGGAACTTGCATGTTTTGGAATCGCTAGGTGTAGAGTCCATTCTAGGGTCGGTGAAGTTTTCACCGAGGGTGGTTTCAAAGTTAGTACAGGCATGTTTTGGAAGTGTTAGGGGCCGAGTTCATACTAGTGTCGGTGAAGGTTGGTTTTGAACTCGGAACATGCATATTTTGAAATTGTTGGTAACCGAGTTCATACTAGGGACGGGGGCGAGGGCGGCGGACAAAGTTGTCGATGTAGGTAGGGTGCAAGAGATATTCATCGAGGAGTGGTGTCTACAAGTTATGTATCCCAGTCTGTTGGAGTGGTTTCTAGGGGGTTGTGATATTAGTTGAATAAATATTTGTCTGTAGGATTGTCATACAGCCTTTGTCTGTCCAAGGTATAGTGTGGGTAGTAGTACGGTCTGTTTATCTAGCGGTTGGTATTGAGGTTAGTGTGATGACGCAAGGTTGGATGGGAGAAGGGGGAAGGGGTTGCGGACAAAGGGAAGGGGAAGGGCGAATAGTGATAAAAATAACTCACCCAGCCCCTTAATCAATAAAAATTATTGATTTGTACTTTAGAGTGATTAGATTGAATGATATGTATGCTAACGTCATATCATATTTAGTTTATACATCATTATTTTGGTGAAATTTAAATGTAGACATTTTAAACGGTGTGTCATTTGACACGACGTACTATAACGTTGTTGTTTTTTAAAACTTGAATTTTATAATCTTAAGCAAATTTACCACCACCTTACCACCACCTTACCACCTTACCACCACCTAAGGTGATCAAAAATTAAGCTGACAATGTAAGATATAGAAAAACAAAATACATTGAGTGGTAAAAATAAAATAAAAATGTCATTAGACGTAATGTAATATGTATAAGTAAACTTTCTTAAAAATTAAAGAAGTTCAAGTCAAAAAGAAGTTTGATGAAAACTGTAATACTAAAGTGAACATGGGAAGGTAATCTGCTGCAAGACTAAGATATATATTCGTCTTCCTTCTAGGTTCATTGTCTTTTTTGGTTGAGGTTAAACATCGCCCTGTTTTCAAAATCGCGATGTACGTCACGTTCTCTCCCCTCTTACTTAGTAATCGCTTCGTCTACCTATTGTTTACAACACGCTTACAAAGAAAAAATATCCCACCCCTCTACTTGAGACATAAAATAAAAAAGTATATTGTGACTTGTCGTCACAGGAAACAAAAACGGTGGCGTCTAATGTTGTTAACCCTTGTCTTCCTAAATTATTTTTTAACTTGTTAAAGAAATTGAATGTTTAGTTAATGATTCTGACGCGAATTTTTTCACAAGGGACGATACTCGTGGCTGTAAACAAGGCTGTTCTATTTTTAGAACAGTTGTCTTTCCTCTCGTTTCTCTATTAGGGAAGCCGTAAGGGGAAGACACGCGACACGTCTTTTAAAATGTAAACAAGCGTGCACGGGGTACACTTAAAATAAACCCCGCTGCGAAAATGACAATGGCATGGTGACACTTTTTGGAAAACACGCTTTCATGTAAATAAAATAAGAGTCGCTTTTGTTGTCGCCATGATAATGTATACCTATAAGTTCTCTCCGCCATTACCGACCTAGTATGAATTTCGCGCGCGCGCGCATGTGTGTGTGTGTGTGTGTGTGTGTGTGTGTGTGTGTGTGTGTGTGTTTGTGTGTGTGTTTGTGTGTGTGTGTGTGTGTATGTATATCTCAAAAAAGCGTATCATGTCAACACCTGGGCAACAAGTCATAGTCAAAAAAGGCCTAATTCATTACAGATCTATAGGAAATCCCTCTTTACATGTACTTACGTTAGGGGGAGTAAACTCATTTGAATAAAAAAACGTATTTAAATATATAGAGTTATAGAACCTTAACCCCGCATACCTACGTACCAACGCATCAAGTCGCCCTGTCGCCCATTAAAAAACACGAACCTACCGAGACTTCGTTTCGTCTCAAAACCTGACTTAACGGTGGTTGAAAGAAAATTCCGACCCTTAAATATATTTTTGTTTTCGCTGACCCTCGCTATAAGCGAATAGTTACAACCATTAATCTTTCATACATAGCAAGGGACGGTTCGCATGACATGTGGAAACAAAATTTTTTAATTTGATCAAAGAATGACCGGGCGTATGATATGTGAACATAGTTCATGTACAGCTGAAGTCTAATGAAAAAAGCCGAGAGCCGTGACTAATTACAGCACCAGCTGTCGCCACACTTAACGCGGAGAGGGACTTAATGGTTTCGATTAATTACCTGTTGTGATCGCTTCAGTGAGTCCGCTATTAAGCAACCACGGGGAGCGCCGGGGAGGGTCACGGGCGGATCGATAAGTACAAGCTGTCGCTAATAAGTAACAGCTGTGGTTAAATGGATGTTATACACAATGACACTTTCTAGTACACGCTAGTGTTAGTCTTTTATTTCAAACGGCGTACAACAAAGAAATTAAAAGCAAACTAATTAAAATGAATTTCAAACAAATAAATTGTACAAAGTAATTAAATTAAACAACAAGTATTATGGTAATTAAGGCGAAGTATAACAATATTTAATTAGGAGTGATGGCCCAGCGGCTGCGATCAATACATTCCCATTAAAACGGGCAGCGGTGAGAAAACTTCGCGGGCGGGTCGATACGTAACAGCTGTGGCTGATCGTTATCTTTAATGGATGTTATTCACAAAGTACACGGCTAGTGTTAGTCTTTTATTTAAAACATACATACATTCAAACAAACCAACAAATTAAACAACAAAGAAAAGAAATATATCAAAGTAATTAAAATCAATTAAAATTTAAAATTTAAATTTAAAAATTTAAAAAATTAAAATCAAATTACGTAACTAGTCAATAAAAAATTACACAATATGAACAAAGTAATTAAATTGAATTCAAACTAATTATAAAATAAAAATTAAAAATAAACAAAATAAAAATAATTAAAAAGTAAACAAATAATCAAATTACGTAACTCGTTAATAAAAATTACACAATATAAACAAAGTAATTAAATTAAACAACAAGTAAACAAACAAATTAAACAAACAAAACACAAACAAAGTAATTAAATTACGTAACTAATTAAAAAACTAATTAAAATTTAAAAAATAAATTAAAACTAATTAAAAACGCATTAAAATTACGTAACAAGGTCAGTGATGACGTCACAAAGTCACTAATTACGTCACAAAGTCACTAATTACGTCACAAGGGCAATGATTACGTCACAAGGTCACCAAAAGGTGACCTACTTCCCCACCACCTCCGCCAACACCAGTTGGCGTAGTATTTTACTATATGTCTTTGCGCCACCCCCACATCCTGCTCACCCACCCTCCCCATCCCGATGCGCCAGGCTGGGAGTATTTTACTATATCTCTTTGCGCCACCCGCGCATCCTGCTCCCGAGTATTTTCCTATATGTCATTGTTCCTCCCCATCCCCACCTCCGCCAAAAATAATACCCAAAAGGGACCTAATATACTACTACTAAATCTCAATGACTAGATCCACTTGTCTTATTTTTGCTGCAGTATTATGTGAGATGCTGTATAGATGCATAGCTTGGTTGAAGATGGCAGATGATGTAATATAATATGGTATAATTATTAAAGCGTTGAAAATAGAACCATTTTAGCTAACAAGATTAATGCCCATAGGCCAGTGATACATCAAAGGTCGAGGTCGCGGCAATGTTTCATAATCAACAGGATCATAACACAAGGAAATCTTGCACCAATCGTCGACAGGAAGAAATGAAACTGGAGATTGGAACATCAAAAGTTGTTTCATTTGTGGGGGTAAGTTGGTCTGTGAGAGACGCTCTTCTCGTTCTGGGCTTTCTCCCAACATTGTCGACACCGTTATAAAAGCAAGTTTGACTAGGGGCCAGGGTTCGGAAACAGCTGCGGTTATGACATTTAGTAGCTCAGGCTCAAGACGTGTGTTATATGCCCCAGTTGTTGATTGGTCAACCTGACGTAGTTGTCTGAGATCTTGTACAGTCATGTAGCAAGTAGCTAAAAGATATTTTATCAACTCCAAGTTGCCAAAGTGTATAGATAGCATCAAAGCTGTGAATGTATTTATTTCACTGGTAGGTTGTAGATTATATGAATGCTTTAATACTACCCCATTGCAAACATGCAATTGCAGAAGATAACACGAATCTTCAGGAAATATAAAACTAGACCCCATAGGATAAGACAAAAAAAAAACAAAATAAAAAAACTGTGCTTCGTGTAACAGTAATTTATGCTTTTGTAGCAGATAGCGATACTTGACATCAACTAGTGGATTCTGTCCAGATTTTAATAGGAGTTTTATTAAACTAATCTGGAATTTACTCTCATCTTCTAATAAGTGGTAAGTTAGTGCTGATCTATTGTCATCGTCTTCAATGTTAAGGTCAGCTCCATAGAACAAAAATGTACCTAAATGAAGTTGCGGATTGCCGCGCTTTACTAAATACATGAGAGCTGTTCTGCCTTTCTTGCCTGTCATGTTAAAGTCAGCTCCGTGTTCATTGAGGATTTGAAATATTTCGGCGTTATTGTACCCACTAGAATCACAAGCAGCTGCTGCCATCAATGGAGATATCCCAGAAGAAGACAAGACGTTAACGTTAGCTCCAGCTTTAAGTAACATTTTGACAATGGTGATCGCATTCAGAGCTGCAGCCAATACCAGAGGTGGCAGAGGTTCAGGAAAGTTTCCATCAATGACAGTGCCTTTATTTATCAAAACTTGAGCAACGTCTGCTTCGCTTCTGTATATCGCCAGGTGTAGAGCTTTGTCGCCGTTTTTATCCACCAAATTCACGTCAGCACCTGCGTCACACAACAGGAGAGCAATCTCCTTATTTCCAGCTAACATTAAAGGCGTGTGTCCCTCTTCCGTCTGTACGTTTACATTACATCCTGCTTGTAGCATATGCCGCACTACGTCTGTGCATGATTCAAATGCAGCGAAGTGCAACGCTGTGTAGCCTTCATCTGTGTGGACTTTGAGGTCAGGGTGACGAGACAACAATTTCAAAGCTGTCTGCTCGTTGCTGTTCTCTAACGCAACAATTAAAGCGGTTTTACCAGACAAAGTATTTAGACAAACTTGTGAACGTTTGTTATTGTGATCTAAATAATCAACTTGGTGTACTCGACTGTTGTACACCTGCTCGTGACCGTGAAATCTCTTCAGACGTTTGTTAGATCTTTCAAATAGCTCTGTCATTCTGGCGTTAATGGCATCTGCTGATTGTGGTTCACTTAAAAGTATATCCATAATCTCACTGCAACTACTTCTTGCTGCACAGTGTAGCACAGTTTCCCCAGTGTTGGCCGCTACCCTGACATCGCCACCTGCACCAAGTAAACGTTGAACTATTTGAACGTTGTCCGTCTCAGCAGCCAGATGTAAGGCCGTGTAGCCATCTTTGTCAGCAATGTTTACACGCGCATCTGGAGTGATAAGAGATTCTACCATTTTGGCCAAGTAATTGAGCCTTGAACGCATTTTCTTTGTCGATGTCATTAGACCTTTATAGTGGGAAATATCCAATGAACTTCCGCCAAAATCACCCAGTTCGTTTATTTTCTGCAGGTTAAGATACAAGCGGCAAGCAATAACTAAAGGCGTGTCATGGTTGTCATCAAGTAAATTTACATCAGCCCCTGCCTCAAGCAGCATGTGTGTAAATTCTAACTGTTCATATTCCACACTGTAATGTAAAGCTGTTTTCCTGTAGTTGTCACGTATGTTCACATCAAATTCGTGAGCCAGTAGTATCTTTAATATTTCTAACGATTTGTTAATTCTATTCTGTGTTAGTCGAGGTTGTAAAATTTTATCTGGAACATTAAAGCTATTAAACTCTTTCATCTTGGAGACGGCAACATGAAGACACGTCCTCCCATTCTTGTCAGTTTTGACAACGTCAGCTCCACGATGTAGGATGTTTTTGACAAGTTCCACATCGTCAAGTTCTACAGCCTTTGACAAACGTGGAAAGTCTCCTTCTGAACACGCATTAACATCGCCTTTTTGCAACAATCGTTCACATTCTCGTTTTCGTTTTCCTACTGACATTTTTTTTAAAGTTGACTGACGATCTTTACGACTGAAATCTGGTTTTGATTTTCCTTCCGCTGGTTCTCTAGAGGAGGCACCCTGTGAAATAGATGTGTCAAAGTTGTAAAGTCTGCCTTGTTATTCAAAGTAATATCTTCTCGATTCTGGTAGTCTACGACGATAATTTTGTCCTACAGGACTTGTGTTAATTTAAATCACACCTCCGTATAAATGTACTGGCCTCTACACACTTACAAGTATACACTACATTCAACAACCCGAAGAAAATGTAGTTTCGCATATTAAGTACTAATATGTAAACTTATAGTTTTGCCAATCAGCGCCATAAAATATGTAGGCTGTATAGTTCTGCACGCATTTAATTTTATTCTAGCAGAAACCCTAGAGTGTTTCACACATTTACATCTAGATTCTATAAGCTAGACTCTAGCAATAGTAGAACCTCGAGATTGAGATCTAGAATAGATTTTAAGCACTATTCTAGACTCTATGTGTGTGTAATCTCAACTCAAATGTAAAAAAAAATATTTAAAATTCAAATTGATGTTGAAATACGTCTGATGCCATCAGATTGTTACGTGAATGAAATACTCACTCAGTTGTATTCAACGGACCAAAACACTATACACAGATTGGCCATACTGAGTACACCTTTATTCAAAACAATAACTATCTGACGGAAGTTTGTTTACAACATGAAATTAATGCGTACTGTCATGGCTATTCTTGTTTTTTTACCCTTATTTTGATGACATCATCAGTGAATTTTTCTTTACGAATAGTTTGCGCACTGCTGTTAAATGAAAAATGCGCTCTGAATAATCATTAGCCAGGACACAAATACACCTAGCTTTATCTGCGTATTTAGTTATCTCAATACTTTTCTTGTTCATCAGTCCATTTATCCGGCGCTTTTTTTCGCTATTCACTTATGTTTACGCTTAATTTGATGACATCATAATTCAGTTTTTGCGGAAAATATTTTAAGCTTCTCATGGACCCATTAAATATTTTTTAAATCCTGTACGATGTTATTAAAATAAATATGGTTATAAAAAATGTGACTGTTTGATTTTTGCACTAGTAGGTAACCACCATACCACGGACGGCAATAGTAGGCAAACACCATACCACGGACGGCAATAGTAGGCAAACACCATACCACGAATGGCAATAGTAGGTAACCACCATACCACGGACGGCAATAGTAGGCAAACACCATACCACGGACGGCAATAGTAGACAAACACCATACCACGAATGGCAATAGTAGGCAAAACCCCTACCACAGCTATTGACTGAAGGCTGAACAAAATCCAGACAGATACGTAACCTCATGCGTGTAATAGTGATTTGAAAAAACCAATAATTCTAGGGGGGAGGGGTTATTACTTTGAATATATGCAAACTGGCGTAAGTATTGCTTAACGTGGAAAGTTAATTATCTTATTAACAATGAAAATAAAACTCTTCGACTAACGTATTTTGTCTGCACAGTAATGTTTTTTTTCTGTTTTATTAATTTGTAATGTATTTAATACGATTTTATTCACAGCTTTTATTTCTTTTGCTTTACAAATCGCCGGAACAAACTCAAACCCGGGATGACAGAAATGATTTTTAAAAATCTCGATTGTTTGCGTTAATCTGAAAAGATATTCAAGAATGTGTTCTTGAGGTCACGTTGATATTAAAATGTATTATTTTATAATAACAAGCTTTCAAATGCATTGAAAATAAGAAAATATAACTTTATTTTTCTTTAATTAAAAGCATTTACTAAAAAGACATTTTTTTTCAGTGCATTAGTTAAAAGCTTATTATTATAAAGGTTTGTAATATTTGTTTTATTTAAATGTAGTTTAAGTTTCCTATTATTTCTCAATAAAAAAAACTAACTTCCTTTTCCGCCCCCCCCCCCCCCCCCCTGCAAATTTTTTAAAGAAATATGTTCAGTTGATTCGAAAATTTGTCATTTTGATTTTCCATTGTCAAGGATTTTTTTATTTTTTTTATTTTGCAATGTGGTGGGAATACAATAAATTTCCCTTTTTAGAGACTCGTGTTACTTTTTTTAATCCAGTAGGCCTATACACAAGAACAAAAATTGTCAATGAGACTTAGTCAAACAATTTGGATCTAAAGATCTATAATCGCGCCATCAAATGCTTTGTCAACTTATACCGCAAAAACTTCTTGTTATAAGCGACTCCTTTAATAAACCTGATGTTTTCATGGAGGAAAGATTTGTCTTAATATCAACTTACCCTAGCATTTTTTTTTAAATTATAGCTTTATAAGTTATAAATGTAATGAGAGGAAAAAGTATGAACTTATCGTTGAAATACAAATAAATATAAGACATGCATTATACTTTTGTTTAACAAGATGTTGCATTGGATTTTTACTATCGAGAACTCGGTAGTTTTAAAGTTTGTTTTGAGGAACTTTAAGAGTGAGTACTAGATCTATATGAAAATCGTGGAATAAATTTAGAGTTTTATTTTGATCTTACTGCACCAAAATGTGTTTTAACGACGGAGGTCAAAGGGCGGTGAATGAGATTTACAAAGCTGCTCAGACTGGTGCAGAGATGAATAAATACCTCATTAATAGAATGACCAACAGTGGAGACACAGCCCTAATGTTGGCTATAGAATAAATACCTCATTAATAGAATGACCAACAGTGGAGACACAGCCCTAATGTTGGCTATAGAATAAATACCTCATTAATAGAATGACCAACAGTGGAGACACAGCCCTAATGTTGGCTATAGAATAAATACCTCATTAATAGAATGACCAACAGTGGAGACACAGCCCTAATGTTGGCTATAGAATAAATACCTCATTAATAGAATGACCAACAGTGGAGACACAGCCCTAATGTTGGCTATAGAATAAATACCTCATTAATAGAATGACCAACAGTGGAGACACAGCCCTAATGTTGGCTATAGAATAAATACCTCATTAATAGAATGACCAACAGTGGAGACACAGCCCTAATTTTGGCTATAGAACGAGCAAATCTCCAAGTTTTTAGAGCTCTGGTTAAAGCTGGCGCTGATGTGAATGTCAGCAGATCATTAATGGCCGATATACAGCTTTGTCGCTTGCTGTCGACAAGGGGCACACAACTGATGTACTAGAACTGCATCAACGTGGCGCTTTCCTGTCTTGTCAAAACGGGATTCAGGCTTTAGAAATCGCACAACATTTTGGTTTCTTGGATGCTGTTGTGGAGGGTGAAGAATTTCTTATCGGCAAAAACAAAGCTGAAGCCATGGAATTTAAAAATGGTGTTTCTATAGCTTTCATAGAAAATCGTATTGATCTATTAATGAAGTTGGTGAAATATGGGAGTTACATCTCGTTACTGCATAACTCTGCCTGCTTGCGAAATCTATGTAATCATATTAAACTTTTGAAAAAAAAAATTTAAAAATGGCACGCGATAAAATTATTATTACGTTTGTAAAAAAAAAAACACAAGGGGCGGGTTTTTTTTTTTCGTGTTTGAGTGTTTGGCCTTTAAAGAAAAACCCACTCAACGTTTCGCTTTTAATCGTCACAATGGACACATCTCTAATTTCCAGACTCGATTATATTTAGAATTTGATATCGATACTTCAAAAATGAAGGTGAAACAATGTGACGATACTTTACTTACCCAAATGTCAACACGTCCCTTGCTGACCATATGTGGTCAAAATATAAAGCGGTCAAGTACAATTACAACTTGCATTAATGTTTATATACTTTTTATAGAAATAAGTTTAATGCACAATCACGCTGTTATTTAGACTAAAACTGTCATATAATTGAACGCTTTGGTGTATAGATAGATCTAGCATGTCTTGACATTTTTCTCTTTACTCTTTGTGTGGTGTAGGTCCTGATCCATTCTCTTCCCAGTTACCCGATCCTTGGCTGTGGTGTGGTCTCGCTAGACAACCTTACGGTTTTAAATTATTCCAGAAAATTCTTTCTCCAGGCCTGTCTAGAGCACCTTTCCCTACTCCACCCGTGGGGGTTCCACTCAAGCCCCAGACTTTATAAATGTTATGATGGTGTCTTCGCCCAATCCAGCGCCACTTTCATTGTCTCGTCTTCGCTGCCCAAGACAATTTTTTACTTCTCCTCATGTTTGTGTAAAGAACTCTGTGTCCTACCTTCTTAATCCCAGTATCTTCAAAGACTGCTGTTTGTAAAGATCCATGTCCTATTTGTGCTCATCTTGGAGACTACAGTTTTATGCTCCAAACATTAAGATCGCCTTCACGTGTAATTACAGTAGCCTAATCTTTAATGTTGTAGAGTTGGCGGTAGTTTTCCATACAAGCCACAGAACAGTGAAGAAGTAACGGGTATCTTAATTCATGCACGTCCTACCTCTCATCTGTGACACCCGATTGGCTGATCTTGTTGCCATGGTAAACAAACTCCTCCACAATCTTTCTTCTATTGTTATTGGATCCTGTTGGCTATAGTTATTTAATAATGATTATTGTTAGTTATTGTAGGACATTGCCTGGTTAATGTTTTTTTTTTTGCCGCTGTTACTTTAATTATTTATTTATTTTTTGTTGCTCTAACGCATTACCTTCAGCCTGCGTGTGCTGTACCGTATGTGAGAGGGGAGAACAATTTTCTAACATGTGTTTATTTACATAAAGTTGCCAAGTATGTTTTACATTGTGTTCAACCATTAATTTTTTTTTTTTAATTTTTTTTTTTTTGTAAAAAACGTGTATTGTTTATTTTGATTGACAACTGATTTGGCCAATCTTTCAACA